CAGCGACTTTCGAATCAGTCCAATTTTCTCTATTTCTTCTTGTAAATCGCATTTTCACCTCGCTCTTTTCCACAAAAATGATCAAGCCCATAAGTTAATCTTCTCCAAACAAAATTTCACATTCTCCCATTTATTACAATAGCTCTAACGCAACAGAGAAAACAAATTACCGTCACATAAACCACAAACGCACCCAAAGCTCACCTAAACCTAACCCAATTTCACACCGAATCGCTGAAAAACATGCTCACCTTCGTTCTCTAAAATAAACTATTCAGACACATAAGAAAAATACAGTTTAAAAACGTGGTAAAAGAAAGAATCATTTGTTAAAATATCGATTTTTACTCGTGACATAATCACAGTCAAATTAAAAAACAAGAAATTCTTCTAAAAATATTATTTTTTAAAAATTCCAATTTTTATTTATTTTTATCGCGAATCATAAGAAAAATACAGTTTAGTGATTTGGTACAAGAAAGAATAGTTTGTTAAAATATCGATTTTTACTCGTGACATAATCACAGTCAAATTAAAAAAGAAGAAATTTTTCTAAAAAATATTATTTTTTAAAAATTCCAATTTTTATTCATTTTTATCACGAATAATCGTTAAAAATTATTAGAATTCTCTGTGATTACGAATTACTATTACGTACGACGGAAATTATTTTTATCGCGAATGGCGATTATAGGCGACGAAAATTATTTTTGCTCGATACACTATGCTCATCGTTTATAATAATTTCTCGTATCTAAGAAAAATTTTTCTCGTAATGACTATTTATAACCGTAAACAATTTCCGTAATGATTACCGATTATTCGCGATAAATAAATCGTTTGAAGAAATAATCGTTAAGAAAATAATTGCAAGCATTTTTCGATTTTTGCGAAAAATAATGTCACGCGTAGAATTGAAAAATATAACACGGGGACTACGAGCTAGCCTCATTTCAATTCAACGATACCAAACACCGTCATTAATCTCACGTCATTAACAGGCTGTGACCGAAGAAAAAAAGAAGGAAAAAAAAAGAGAAAAGAAAGAAAAAAGAGTGAGAGAGAGAAAAAGAAGGCAGAGATATCCTTGCAACCAAGGCGATCGAAAAGGCCAAAGAAGAAAAGCCATCGGCGCGATTAATCATCGTATTTGCATTTTCCATCGGCCTGGGAACGATTCGCCCATGGCGATTTCGCCTTTCGACGATCGTCACGGTCTTCGATATGTGGCGTAACAATTTCGCGATAGCCACGCGTACGTGCGTTTGCATCATGCCTGCTTCTAGGAACGTGAGCGAACGCTTTCCTATTTATTTCAGTGTCTATAAGTGAAACGCGAATTTATCTTTGTCGGTTGTCTGTTCTCGCGTGATTTTGTGGTTTCGAGATCGAGCGATTTTCTCGCTTCGAGATCTAGCGATTTTCACGTTTCGAAATCCCGCGATTTTCTCGTTTCGAAACCGAGTTATTTTCCGATCCTGGGATCCAGTGATTTTATGATTTCTCCAAAGTTAGCAATTTTCTCGTTTTGTGATCTCCGGGCCGAGTTATTTCACGAGTTTGAGATCGAACGAGTTTGCGATTTGCAAATCTAGTAACTTTGTCCTTTTTGTGATCTCCGAATCTAGTAATTTTCTCGTTTTGTGATCTCGAAACCGAGTTAATTTGTGATTTTGAGATCGAACGAGTTTGTGATTTCCAAATCCAGTAAGTTTGCCACTTTGTGATTTTGAGATCGAGAAATTTTGTGATTTTGAGATCGAGCAAGTTTGTGATTTCCAAATACAGTAATTTTGTCCTATTTCGTGATTTCCAAATCTAGTAATTTGGCATTTTGTGGTCATGAAGCCGAGTTACTTCGGCATTTTGATATCGAACGAGTTTGTGATTTCCAAATCGAGTAATTTTATGATCTTATAATATTGAAACCAAGTTATTTTTGTGATTTAGAGACGGAACGATCTTGTGATTTCTAAAACGAGTAATTTTGTGATCGTGTGATCTCGAAATTGGGCAATTTTGTGATTTTGAGACCAAGTAATTTTGCGATTTTGTGACTTCAAGATCGTATGATTTTATCGTACTATGATTTTAAGACCAAATAATTTTGTGAAGTGTCAATATCGATTAATTTAAAGGAACGATTGATCCCTCTGAAGAGTAATTCGATATAAAGAGGTTACATTTTACGATTGCATTTTTATTCGTGAAATAGCCCATTGGTGTCTTGGTAAAGTTTTTGTTTTCGGCTTTGTGGTGAACCGCGACCCAGAGGACCACGAGGACCTCTGTCTTCTGGGATGTTAGAGGTCCATTACCGATTCGTTGTAAGCGGTCGTGGTGTTTGATTTTCTGGTCAGTTTGGGATTCGAACTTATAAATAGCGTGCCTCTATGTCGTTGTAGAGACGTTTCATCCCCTTGGTTTAACTCGTTGTAACTAGTTCCAGATGGGAGAGCAACTGTTGGGATTGGTCCCTTTGGGCCACGTTGATGTCTCTCTTCGCTCTATTAGAAAGTTCCACTATTTTATTATTTTTATTATTATCAAAAAAATAATTTTATTACTTTTTTAATTTATTATCATTTTTTTCACATTCTAATTGATATATATCGATTCGTATTATAATTTATGTTAAATTTTCGTTACGATAGTCTTTTTTGAAAAGTAGTAGTATACTATGCCAATACCGATAGTTTCCTCGATTCATGTATCGAGTTAACTATGATCGATTAACTTTATAAAACTGTATTTTTTATTTTTTTTCAAAAGATTTTACATAAATTTCAGTGTGTAATTTTCAGTATAAACGATTTTTAATGAATTTTCATATTCCACGCGTGGGATATTTAATACCGCTTTAATTAAAATTGAACGCTAAATAATATTTACAAATTCTTCCACTGAAAATTATTACAAAAATATTCCCAATTAAATTGGCGCGAAAAGTTGATTAAAAAATTCAATTATTGAGCTGAAATCTTAACGACGTGTTAAGATCAATTACGTAATCGATACATCTGCAGACGCATCGTGTATGTACTATACATATTGTCGATTAGCAAATAAACGATCATTTAATTGCGAAAACACGAGGTGACTGTGTTTTAAAACGATTCGATTGGGAGGAAGATAAAAGGATCGTATAAATTATTTGATTTTCATGCCAGCTAATGAATACAAATTATCAGCAGCCAGTGCAGTTTACAGTTACACCTCTGAAAGCAATTAGAAGATCAATTACACTGGGCGGGTATAAAAATGAATCAAATATATCTCGTCGGGACTCTCGGACCCATGGAAAAATCGCACATGAATATGCCCGGAGTTCCTAGATGATTTAATTATTTTAGTATCCGCTGTGATTTATGATCCATCGATCACTGCGAGCAGCGTACCAACGTCACTGTAACAAACTGACACGTTGCGAACACGTCTTCTTGCTCTCTCGAATAACAGATTGTAAAAAACTGGCATGAATAATCAAGCGTTAAAGTCCAATCATGGATCGAGATTCGATCTTCGCAAACAAATAAAAAAATCATTAATTCCGCCGGTTATTACCACAGTCATCTGACTCGTGTGTGTTTTTCGGCTCGAGCCACCTAATTATCTCCACGCATTCCTGTGGGTATATAGAATTTCGTGATATTTAATAAAATATTTCGGAAAATTCTTAGTTTTACGGTGGGAAAATTTCTTGAGGAAATTTTGGAAATTTTCTAGGACTTTTATTCTCGGCACGTTAATAGGAATAATCGGAGTCACGGGTGCTTTTTGACTTGAGATATTTAGGTATCTGGACGTTTTCCTTTGGGTAAACATAATTTCGTGTTATTTAACAAAATATTTCGGAAAATTTTTAGTTTCACGGTGAAGGAATTTTTGGAGAAAATTTTGGAAATTTATAGGATTCTAATCTTTAGTATGTTAATAGGAATAATTAGAGTCACGCGTGATTTTGGCTCGAGATATTTAGGTATCCCGACAATTTCCTTTGGATATACTAAAAGATAATTTCACGTTCTTTAATAAAATATTTCGAAAAATTCTATTTTACGGTGAAGAAATTTTTGGAAAAAATTTTATAAAGTTTTAGCCCTCGCTATGTTAATTGAAATAATTGGTGTCACCTGTGTTTTTAGGTATCTCGACACTTTCCTTTGGGTATAGTAAAAGATAATTTCGCGTTATTTAATAAAATATTTCGAAAAATTCTTAATTTTACGGAGGAAAATTATATAGAATTCTAACCTGTATTACAAGAATGGAGATCCTTCAGGATCCCACACCCCTTAACATACCAAAGGGTAAACAATTAACAATTTTGATGGTACCTATTCCACAATGAATAAAATTTACATTAAAATAAAAAAACAAAAATTATAAGTAGAAGAAAAAGTAAGCAGTCAGCAATTTGCTTAGCAAGAATCATCAATGACTGTCTCGTTCGTATCTATTCCTAAGTTATATATCAGTATAATAAGAAGTAAGTTTTTCCTTTTACGAGTTGCAAATTCTCAAACAAAAAAAACCACTCAAACCGGTCTACGATTCCACGCGTAATTATTTTGCGAAAATCTTTTATTTATAAATTTATATAACAAAATGAACGAACGATTGAATTTCTAAAACATCGAAGATACATTCATTGAAAACACGCACAAAACGATGAATTCCAAACTCCAAAAGAAAAAGGTTAAAAAAGATTGCAAAATTTTTGACATTTCCGACTGAAAGACTGAAAAACCACTTTCATAATCACCGTCACGATCCTTCTAAATCGTCATCCAACAGCTGTCCATTCATTAAAACGAACGACGCGAGCTTTCCTCAGAAGCTCTCGCGGCACGTCTGTGTCACGAGGGACAGCTGTAACGGGAAGGAAAGAGACAGAGCGCTTGAGGGCAGAGCGAGCGCGAGCGAGAGGGAGATAGCGAGGGAGCAAGAAACGCTCCTAGCACGAGGGAAGCTTCTAAAGGGTTGCCGTTTATTTTCAGATCGCGCGCCCAGCGAAGGGGATCAACGTCGGTGCAAAAACAGCACACCCCTGCCACTTCCCGGCTCCCTTACCACCAACGGAGAAGGTAACTATGTCCTCAAGGTTATACATACCCCTTCTCTCGTGTCTATCTCCGCCGTCTGAGACGCGTACGCGCGAAAGAAAACGCAGACTGCATAGAAAAGGAAGCCGCCAAGTGTCCCACTTCGTTTCCAGCTCGTTCATCTCAACCCTCTAAGCCTTTTACTTTCCACGTGAGAATGTCGTTTTGAAAAATCGCTTATCGTTGCTATCGGTACGCGTTGGGACAGGGGATTTCGTTCATTTTTTCCGCCATTTTTGGTTAACAGTTAGTCAACGGAATGTAAATTGGGATGCTTGGACGGCGGAGAATTTTCTTGGACCGAGATCAGGGTTTTTCTGTAGTCTCCTTTTAGGTTAGGACTGTTTAACTATTTTTGCATGTTTTACGATTTTTCTTTGAAATTTGTCGCTATGAACCCTTTGCACGAGAATTGTTCGATTTGCACGAATTTTTATTAACCACAGTGTAAATTTTAATGGAAAATTAAATTAACATCTGTGAATTTCTTGCACAGGTGATTTTATTAGTGAAAGTAAAACCAAGTAATAAATTACAGGTTAATATAGGATAATGTAGAGTACAAAGGGTTAATAGCAGATAAATTGTTATTCTTAATGTGCCCTATCAATTTTATTAATTGCTGCTATAAATCATGTCTGCTTAGACATCTAGCGGTATTCATAAGTACTACGATACTTTAGAAAAATTCTTAAGAGTATATATACTTACTCAAAAATGCGTTATTTAAAATATCTTAAATTATATAACCTAAAAATACCAATACAAAATAAGAATAGTTTAATTCAAGAAATAATTGAAAAATGAAATCGAGTTTTCAAACTCGCGTCTATTACGTCATACAGCGCCACCTGTCACACGCGTGCAATTCAACAGCGCAAACGAAAGAACTCTCCGTTTGTATTAAACATCCCTTTATCCCCTTGGAGAAGCTTACACGCACACACGGCACGTTACATAATTCATTTCGATTCATTTCCATACCCGATTTCCCATTACACCGAAAAAAGGACACCGAACAGATCGCTTCGTAACCTTGCAGTGGCACAATGACGACACGATAACATCCTAAGTGACGATGAAAACAAAAGCGAAGCTCGGGACAAAAGAAAGAAGGCTGGAGTGCGAAACGAGGATCGAAAACGATCTAGAAGCCCAGAACGGTGGAACGAACGCTAATAGTTGGTGGAGGAAAAAATGTACACGGTGTAAATGCCGTTCATTAGGCTTAACGGTTGTTCGGCTGGAACATCGATCCCCCGGCTACGCCATTGGTCGGTGGCTACGCCTATATCCACGTGGTTAACCTTGAACGACGCTACGAACGATTTCTTCTCTCCGTCTTTCGCCGCGTTTTTCACTTCCGTGTCCAAGAGAACAGAGCATCGGAAAGATTCCCGTCTGAACTGGTTTGCAGGTTCGCGCAGCGCTGTCCGCGCGTGCGACAGAGATGGCGCTGGCGGCGGATAGAGAAAGGGCGACGTTTAAAAGAATTACTGACCGGGATACGGCAAAAATTCATCGCAGAAAAGTCGTCTTCGTCGGATCGGCCCGCGACCGTGTTCCCTGTTGTATATTTCAGAGGGATGCCGTTTTTTGCCGGATGTTAATTTCTCGGAAGAATGGAGTATCGTTTGCCAGAGGAGGAGGGATCGATGCTTCTGTGGAATCGATCGCGCCACGTCCAGACCGCGTTTTGCTCTCCGTTTCGCTCACGATTTTTATTACCGTAGACGTTGGTGCGAGTTGGAAATCGTGGGGCACTCGCGGACTCATGTAGAGGTTTGACGGTTGCAATTGGGGGCGTGGTTAATAGTCTTTGACTATACGGCGGCGCGTCTAGCTCGTGGTGCGTTTTTCGTGTCGAACTGTGCCAGGCTATTAATTTATTTTTGTAATTAAACAAAATAACAAAATAAAATATAATACTCCTATAATTTAGTCCCCAAGCACTCGATTGGCGCTCGTCTTTTTATACGTAAAATAAATTTTTACTTTTTGTTCGTTATTATAGAGGTTAAAAAAAAATTTGTGAATGAGGTGATGCTTCTTCTTTTACGTATTATGAAATTCCTGGTTCACTTTTTTACGCGTTATTTATGTCTAAGTGGAAAATAAAATATAACGAATTCTGTATTTAACGAAAAGGGTTTTTTAGCGGATACAGATTACTAGGTGGGGTAGAATTGAGATAATCTGCGTGTAATTTGGGAGTGAAGGATGAGGTGAGAGTAATTGGAGAACGTTTTGAATATGGTAGGGGAGAAATAATGGTGTAATGGTATAGTGTTACTGTGGAGATTTTTATTGTCCTGTCTTTGGAGAGGTAAAAAGCTAGGGTTGTATGTAGAACAGTTCACAGCAAAGCACTATCTGCTTTGCATAATGCCGACTTAGAAACTAAACTCGGTTATTTTTCTCCTTTTTCCTTTTTTTTGCTTTCTGACCAATGGTTAGGGGGAATCCTGTACTTAGGGACGACATGCCTCTTTGTCAGCGAAGCAGGTGTTGAAATGGAATTATCTTCCTCAGATAGGATCTTCGATACGCGAGATAGAATATAGGGAAAAATGTCCACGAAACACAGATTTTAAAAATATACACGTGCACGTATTTCTCATTTTTCATTTTTCTTCCTTTTTAATATAATATTAAGAATGCCGCGAATATTTATGGGGAAAGCAAATTTTATCATAGAACTATCTTTCTGAGATAGAAATTGATAAAATGGAAATATTAATTTCAGCCCTTAGGCCCAGAAATGCACTTGCTTATGTACACAATTTCTGCACATTCACATCCTCCATACTTTAACTTACAAATTAGTCCTTTACATCCATTTGTCAGCATACTGTCATACCTCTCTTTTTCTTCTGTATTCGCTTCATCACCTTTCTTATAGATATTCCATAAAAAGTATCAAAATTATGAAACAAAAACATTCCCAATTCTAAACCTAACGTCAATCTTGCACGAACAGTCTCTAACAATAATAACGTCACTATAGATCATTTTCCTCAAACACAGGCTCCATAAAGTATCGATATCCCAAGACAAAGATTATCCCAATTCCGAACCTAACCTCAATCTTAAACTCCACGCTACGCGAGGAACCATTATGATATTAACAATCTTTGCTAATACTTAACTTCGCTGTTACATCATTTTTCTCAAACACGTACCCCAGAAAGTATCAATATTAGGAGACAAACATTTTTCCAATCCCAAATCTAACCTCAAACTTAAACTCCGCGCTACGCGAGGAACCATTATAGTATTAACAATCTCTGCTAATACCTAACGTCGTTATTACATCATTTTCGTCAAACACGTCCCCCATAAAGTATCATCAATATCAGGAGGCAAAAATCTCCCCAACCCCGAACCTAACCTCAACCCCGACGTCGGCAGACGAACCACTCCCTGCAAGCTATCACACGAACATCTCATCCGCCGTGGTTCCCCTAGCTGAAATTACAACGGCCGTGTAAAACTCGCCCGATCGAACGCCTAAATACGACGCAGGCCGATTCCGCAAATCACGCAGCATTTTCCCGCGCTTTCTCGCATCCTTGACATTACGCGGTCCGTTTAGCACGCGCCGATGCAAAGCCGCGATTACGCGGAACGGGGGATTAGCTTAGACGCGAGGTTGCTCGCAAGGTCAAAGATCGGCATCCTTGCCGGCGATTTAACGCTCACGACGGCTGCATAATTCCGAGCAATATCGCAGCCGCTCTAAAAATACACGGCGCGTCCGATGGAGAGCAAACTCCTCTCGTCTCCTCGTTCTGCACACTCGGCGTACGGCGTATTTTATACACGAGACGCGGGAGCGTGCACGAAAGCGCGCGGATTGCCCGAAGAAATTTCCTCGGGTGCGCGCGTTCCAGCGGGGTGACGCGCGCGCAGGTTTTCACGCGTGACGCAGCGCGAGCGAGGTGCTCGTGAACTTTCGTCTTTTTTCGCCGCCCGTCGCGTTGCTTCGGCCGGCTTCGCGGAACGACCGAAACGCTTTTGGCCACGGCCAGAACGAGGAAAGCGGCCACCCGACCGTCCGATTCTCTGCCTCCGCTCGCCGGCGGGATCGTTCCACGAATTTCTATTATCTTCGTCGAAGAAGCCTCTGGCGATTGCCGGGCCGCCGGCTAGAGAGACTCTCGACAACGCTGGCCCACGTTACGTATATACCGTCTCGACTTTGCCTCCTTCGTTCTACCAATAGTTCTATACCGTCCACAATTTTTATTTTATTTTCATTTTTTCTTCCTCCTTTTTTCTATCATTTTGCTTTTCATTGCGTGGATATATAGTCATTGATCTTGGGTTTGGTCTTGGTCTTTCGAGTAGAATTCCTTTGATGGTTTTTCTTTTCAATAGTTACTTTTTGAGGTTAGGAATCGGTGAGTTTGGAACCTAGGGAATTTTGTTGAGATTTTGTGTTTTTTTTTATTTGCAACGTGAGAAGGGTATAATTGGTAACGAAAAGTAAAAGTTTATTAAGAATTTCTCTGGGTATGCTATTTTTATTTTTTCTTATTTTTGTTTTTAAAATTTATCTATTCCTTTTATTATTTTTTATTTTTCTCCTTCTTTTGAGAATTATCGAGTAACGCGAAATATTAGTTAAATAGAAGATGCAAAGCGAATTAGGTGTAATAACACGAGTGACATAGTTCACTTGCAGAATATCGCAGATATTCAATGATCGGCGTTACGCGAGATTCTATGGATCTTGGTCGGATCTTCGTGGATCGTGGAAGTTTGGACATTGCGAGCAACGTTATGCAATGGTGGAAGTAATGAGTGTGTCAACTTCATTTATCAGTTGAAATGTTAGCCTTATGCACCGCGTTATCTTCCTTCGGAAATAAATTCGAAAAAATGCACTGTGACAAATATAATCGCGCGAAGTATTTGCTGCGACTGCTTTCACGTCGTGCCAATGAAAACAAGCTTAGATCATTTCCCTGTCTGTCATTGAAAAAGTCTCTTAATCATAATGGACGTAGATTAGCATATGAAAATTCGTAGACGAGTTCGAGCGCAATGATTCGCGATATTTTGTCGCATAATATATTATAATTCATTTATCTGTATAAACATTAGAATATTAATTTTTTCAAAGATTAACGATGAATAAGTGCACGTTCAATTATTCTTCATTTGAAGCACAATTTCGCAAGATGTAATAAATATTTCCGAGTACAAAAAATACTTTCACGAATCATACATATATATATAAAATAAAATAATAACAATAAAATATATAATATTAAAAATCACTGTGCTATATTTCAGAAGACTCATATAAGAAATTAACTATTACTATTTCTTATATTTGTAATTCTTTTTTGTACAATGTTATTATCAGCATTATTAGCATTTATGAGTATTAAATAAAATATATAATATTAATAAAACACTGTGCTCTACTTGAGAAAACTAATATATATATATATATTTATTAAAAAATATTGCATGGCAAAGAAATACATATATTTACATAAAACAAAATTTTATGTATACAAAAATAGATAATTTGCCTTACAA